AAATTTTGAGATTAAAAAAAATGCTGTATTTTGGGGTAGTTTTTGAGTATACCGAGTTGTTATAGAGCATTGTAATGTTAGACAGTATTATGAACAATTGAATTTTGCACAAATTTTTCAAATACACCAAGTGGTTGAAACAAATAGTTCAGAAGATATAATTTATTTTACAACAAAATGTACCACGTCTTATTTACATATGTGCCACCTCTTATATGTATTCTTGTAGTGCGCAAAGAATTATTTTTTTATTTTTCGATTTATAAGTATACCGAGTTGTTATAGGGTGTTGTAATGTTAGACAATATTATAGATTATTAAATTTTGATCAAATTTCCCAAATATATTAATTATTTTAAACAAATATTTTAAAAGATACAAAATTACCAATGCAAAACTGTACCTTTACTAAGTGAACATTGTTTATTAGTACCTATTACGTATGAAAAAAATATGTTTCTACATTTTCAATTACGATTTATAAGTATACCGAGTTGTTATAGAGTGTTGTAATGTTAGACAATATCGTAGATTATTCAATTTTGATCAAATTTCCCAAATATATTAATTATTTTAAACACATATTTTAAAAGATACAAAATTAATAGTACAAAACTGTACCTTTGCTAAGTGAACATTGTTTATTACGTATGAACAAATATGTTACTACATTTTCAATTACGATTTATAAGTATACCGAGTTGTTATAGGGTGTTGTAATGTTAGACAATATTGTAGATCATTCATTTTTGAACAAATTTCTCAAATATATTAATTATTTTAAACACATATTTTAAAAGATACAAAATTAATAGTACAAAACTGTACTTTTGCTAAGTGAACATTGTTTATTACGTATGAACAAATATGTTACTACATTTTCAATTACGATTTATAAGTATACCGAGTTGTTATAGGGTGTTGTAATGTTAGACAATATTGTAGATCATTCATTTTTGAACAAATTTCTCAAATATATTAATTAGTTTAAACAAATATTTTAAAAGATACAAAATTGATAGTACAAAACTGAACCTTTGCTAAGTGAACATTTAAGTATTAGTACCTATTACGTATGAAAAAATATATTACTACATTTTCAATTACGATTTATAAGTATACCGAGTTGTTATAGGGTATTGTAATGTTAGACAATACTGTAGATTATTCAATTTTGAACAAATTTTCTAAATATATTAATTATTTTAAACAAATATTTTAAAAACTACAAAATTAATAGTACAAAACCGTACCTTTGCTTGCTAAGTGAACATTGTTTATTAGTACCTATTACGTATGAAAAAATATGTTACATTTTCAATTACGATTTAAAAGTATACCGAGTTGTTATAGGGTGTTGTAATGTTAGACAATATTATAGATTATTAAATTTTGATCAAATTTCCCAAATATATTAATTATTTTAAACAAATATTTTAAAAGATACAAAATTACCAGTACAAAACTGTACCTTTGCTAAGTAGTGAACATTGTTTATTACGTAAGAAAAAATATGTTAATACATTTTCAATTACGATTTATAAGTATACCGAGTTGTTATACGGTTTTGTTATGTTTGACAATATTGTAGATTATTCAATTTTGAACAAATTTTCCAAATACATTAATTATTTTAAACAAATATTTTAAAAGATACAAAATTATCAGTACAAAACTATGCTACGTAGTGAGCATTGTTTATTAGTACCCATTACGTATGAAAAAATATGTTACTACATTTTCAATTACGATTTATAAGTATACCGAATTGTTATAGGGTGTTGTAATGTTAGACAATATTGTAGATTATCCAATTTTGAACAAATTTCCCAAATATATCAATTAGTTTAAACAAATATTTTAAAAGATACAAAATTAATAGTACAAAACTATACCTTTGCTAAGTGAATATTGTTTATTAGTACGTATGAAAAAATATGTTACTACATTTTCAATTACGATTTATGAGTATACCGAGTTGTTATAGGGTGTTGTAATATTAGACAATATTGAAGATTATTCAATTTTGAACAAATTTCCCAAATATATTAATTACTTTAAACAAATATTTTAAAAGATACAAAATTACCAGTACAGAACTATGCTACGTAGTGAGCATTGTTTATTAGTACCCATTAAGTATGAAAAAATATGTTACCACATTTTCAATTACGATTTATAAGTATACCGAGTTGCTATAGGGTGTTGTAATATTAGACAATATTGTAGATGATTCAATTTTAATTAAATTTCCCAAATATATTAATTACTTTAAACAAATATTTTAAAAGATACAAAATTACCAGTACAAAACTATGCTACGTAGTGAGCATTGTTTATTAGTACCCATTAAGTATGAAAAAATATGTTACTACATTTTCAATTACGATTTGTAAGTACACCGAGTTGTTATAGGGTGTTGTAAAGTTAGACAATATTGTAGATTATTCAATTTTGAACCAATTTTCCAAATATACCAATTACTTTAAACAAATATTTTAAAAGATACAAAATTACCAGTACAAAACTATGCTACGTAGTAAGCATTGTTTATAAGTACTCATTACGTATGAAAAAATATGTTACTACATTTTCAATTACGATTTTTAAGTATACCGAGTTGTTATAGGGTGTTGTAATGTTAGACAAAATTGTAGATTATTCAGTTTGGAACAAATTTTCCAAATATATTAATTAGTTTAAACAAATATTTTAAAAGATGCAAAATTACCAGTACAAAACTATGCTACGTAGTGAGCATTGTTTATTAGTACCCATTACGTATGAATAAATATGTTACTACATTTTCAATTACGATTTATAAGTATACCGAGTTGTTATAGAGTGTTGTAATGTTAGACAATATTATAGATTATTCAATTTTAAATAAATTTCCCAAATATATTAATTACTTTAAACAAATATTTAAAAGATACAAAATTAATAGTACAAAACTGTACCTTTGCTAAGTAAACATTGTTCATTACGCATAAAAAGTATATTACTACATTTTCAATTACGATTTATAAGTATACCGAGTTGTTATAGGGTGTTGTAATGTTAGACAATATTGTAGATTATTCAATTTTGAACAAATTTTACAAATATATCAATTATTTTAAACAAATATTTTAAAAGATACAAAATTTGATAGTACAAAACTGTACTTTTGCTAAGTGAATTAGGTATGAAAAAATATGTTACTACATTTTCAATTACGATTTATAAGTATACCGAGTTGTTATAGGGTGTTGTAATGTTAGACAATATTGTAGATTATTCAATTTTGAACAAATTTTACAAATATATCAATTATTTTAAACAAATATTTTAAAAGATACAAAATTTGATAGTACAAAACTGTACTTTTGCTAAGTGAATTAGGTATGAAAAAATATGTTACTACATTTTTAATTACGATTTATAAGTATACCGAGTTGTTATAGGGTGTTGTAATGTTAGACAATATTGTAGATTATTCAATTTTAAACAAATTTTACAAATATATCAATTATTTTAAACAAATATTTTAAAAGATACAAAATTTGATAGTACAAAACTGTACTTTTGCTAAGTGAATTAGGTATGAAAAAATATGTTACTACATTTTCAATTACGATTTATAAGTATACCGAGTTGTTATAGGGTGTTTTAATGTTGGACAATATTGTAAATCATTCAATTTTGAATAAATTTTCCAAATATATTAATTATTTTCAACAAATATTTTAAAAGATACAAAATTAATAGTACATAACTGTACCTTTGCTAAGTGAACATTGTTTATTACGTATGAAAAAATATGTTACTACATTTTCAATTACGATTTATAAGTATACCGAGTTGTTATAGGATGTTGTAATGTTAGACAATATTGTAGATCATTCAATTTTGAACAAATTGTTTTGATATACTAATTATATTGAACAAATATTTTAGAATACATAAATTATTTTCCACAAAAATGTACCTATCATGTGCAAGTAAATTCATACAGTAAAAATATGTTTCATGTTTTATTGCATTTTTGAGTATACCGAGTTGCTCTAGAGTATTATGTTATAGAGCATAATTATGCTAAAAAAATTTGTAGACTATGCAATTTCGTACAAATGCGAGTTTAAAAGATACTGGAAATGTAATGAATCAATGCATAAGTTAATCATGAATGATTAATATTAAGGTGTTCCTAGTGTGAAATTTTCAAAAAATTGAATTTTCAATTTTTCCATATTTCGATAGATTATACCTTTAAAAATAACATACCAAAATTTTAAATCGATATCTTAAATAGTTTTTGAGTCACAGCCATTTAAAGAGTATATATATAGTATATGGTATAACAATTATTTTATCTTTAAACGCGTTTTTCTCGAAACAGCATTTTCCGAATTTTCTGCAGCGATTACTCAAAAACAAATTATCCGATCACTATCGATTTTTTTTTACATGTTTTATATATAGTTCTCCGTAAAACGAACTATCGATTTTTTGATCGGATCAAAAATCGAATTTTTGGACCAAAATTTTGGGTAAAATTCGACTTTTTTTAAAAAAAACGCCGCCATTTTGTTAATTTTTCATCTTTTTATTTATCGTATATCATTATCAAGTTTAATGAAAATTTTTTTTTTCAATTTCATCCACTGCAGCAGAGAAGGGCCATTTTTTCGAGCCGTTGGAGATCGACGATAACTTAAAAAATATTTAATATTTTTCTTCAAAAATTTTACTATGTATTCTTAAAACATGTATAAATATATTCCTAAAATTTTGAAATGATTGATGAAGTAGTTTTTTTAATATAAATTCCCAAAAATCACCTTTTTTCAGGCGGTTACACTAGTTGTGCCCCTTATAAATAGTAGTTCAACGGGCTATATTCGATTATCATACATGCACAAAGAATTCAAATAATATTTATTATCATTGTAACGTCTTTCTTATAAACTAATAAATAAAAAAATGGTATTTTTTAAATATTTATTAATTTATTTTACCTGTGTCACTCCAAGTTTGATCCGCCTCTGTTTAAAACGTTCAGCAAATGCTTCTAATTCTCTTGGGTCAGTATCAGCATCTGGATGCAAACCTGCTGCAGCAGCAGCAGCAGCTGCTGCTGCCATCGCTGGGTGATGGGCATGGTGCATACTCTGAAAAAAAATATATATAAAATTCTTTAATGCAAAAATTTCCATGTAAAAATAATAATTTAATGTTGTAAATTGTATCTAGTTTCACCCTATCTAACTGAAAAGGGGCGGTTCCATATGAAATTTTTGAGTTATGTGACAAAAACCAAAAAATGTCCCGAATTTACTATTTATTGCTGAAGAATGAAACTAGTTGGTATTGGTATTTTGCCTTGAGGAAAGTTACATGAACTTCCCGATATGTGTAAATAATCGACTTAATCAACAATAAACAAATTAATTTATGAGTGATTAAAAGTATTCCGAGTGGATTTATTACACATTATTTAAAATCGAACACGTCAACCCAGTCGGAGTATTTTTTAAAAGCAAAATTTCAAAAATCAATAATTTTTATAATTGAACCAGTGTTTGTAGGACTTTAATGCTTTAGTATGTTCATCAAGACCAAGCATTTACCGTTATACCAGGTGAATCATCTAATTTTAATTTTAACAAATGTCAAAAAAACTACTTATTTTCTCAAACTTTGATGATTTTTTTTTAAATTAAACTACTTGTCGTAAAGCCGTAATATTTCAGTAAGTTCTATAAGACCATGATATATATCGCCCAAAAAAGTTCCATGAAAATCGGCTTAAATTTTTTTTTCAATAGTTAATTACAATAAAACGGCTCGGTAGATTTTCACCTAAAACTAATCAGTATTATTCCCAACTAATATCTTTCGAACAGTTTTTGATTTTTTTAAATCGATTCGGTAGTATGAGCTTAAACGTGGACGGAAGGTTTAACACTTTTTTCCAAATTACAAAGAAACGGCTCGGCCGATCGTCGCACAAAATTGAGAAACGATAATTCTCATCGAGATACATCAAGTGGTTTTTAAATTTCTAAAATCGGTTCGAACGTTTTTGAGCAAACGTCGATGAAAGTTTTAATTTTGACAAATGCCAAAGCTTTGGTCTCTAGAGACCATACTATTTTTTGCAAACTTTGAGGAATTTTTAAAGCTGAACGAGTTGTCGTAGGGCCGTAATATTTTAGTATGATCTAGAAGACTATGGTATCTACCGTCAAAAAATAATAATAAAAATCGTCGATTTTTTTTTTTAACTATATTACAAGAAAACGGCCCGGCCTATTTTTACCAAAAACTAATCAGCACGATTCCCAACCAATATCTATCGAACGGTTTTTGAATTTTCAAAATCGATTCAGACTTGAGACGAAATTTTTTTCACTTTTCTGCGATTCACAAAGAAACGGCTTGGCGGAACGTCGCACAAAACTCAGAAACGCTAGTCTTCATCGAAATACATCGAATGGCTTTTAAATTTTTGAAATCGGTCCAATCGTTTTCGAGAAAACTTCGATTTATGGCAAAAAATCTGTTGATGCACACGCACACACACACACATACTTTTCCAAATTTGGTCTCATTCGATTCAGAGAACATAAAATTAGCGAATCGGATTTTTTGATGAAAACAAACTTCTCCTTCGCGAAGTTAAAAAAAAGTTTTAAAACCTAGAATCCACAAATTAAAGAACAAAAACTTAGAATTATTATATCAGGCTTTAAAAATAATTAAGCATAATTTGGTCGCGAGTATGAGAGTATTTTCTATTTCAGGAAATTTTGTGAGTAAACAAAGGACACGTCTGAGAAGCAATTCGATAGACGTTCTCAATTTTTTGAAATCATATTTTATTAAACAAAAACAATTACAATGTTTAAAATTAATTAATTAAAATTGCTCGGAAGAGAAATAAAAGTTTAGTTTAATTGTTTTAAAAACTAAAATTGATATTAACAAGTATGTATCAACATGTATCTAATATTTTGTTTTATTTAATGAATTTGTTTTATTTATTAATGTATTATTTTAATTTATTCGAAAACTTTCCTTTCACTATCATAAAAATATTTTCATTTTTATATGTGAAAATGATGCATGAATAACGAAGAATTATTTTCAAAGTTATTTAATCAAGATAAATTATTAAGTTCAGTTCTACTAATTAAAATTTAAATAATTTTGTTCACTATGTATAAAATTGAACAATAAATACATTCAGTCAAATACTGCTCTAAATTTCACTAAATTTGCGGATAAATTACAGAATATTCGAGTAAAAATTCATTTTCAATTTAAAATTCGAAAACCGGTTAAAACCGTTTTTTTTAGTAAAATTAAAATTCAAAAACCGGTTTTCTGAAATGTCGGTTTTTGTATAAGGGGCCGTTCAAGTATTACGTAAGCACTATAGGGGGCGGGGGGTTGTTGATTTGCTTATTTTGGTTGAGGGGAGTCTGGATGATGATTACGTCATAAATAGTATTTTTATTTTTCTACATTAATTGCAAAATGTTTACGTAAGCACGGGGGTAGGGGGTAAAAGCTTTGCTTACTTTTGCTGACAAGGCGGATAGGGGGGGGGGGGTAAATAATTATAATAAATGTGTTTACGTAATACTTGAACGATCCCTTAAACCCTAGTGGGTACAGGACAACGTCTGTCGGGTCATCTAGTATATACATAAAATCCTCTGGTGCAAAATTTCTTACATAAAAAATAATAATCAACTAATCCCATCCCTTACCTGTTGGTGCTGATGATGATGATGATGATGCGCCATCATATGATGATGAGCCCCGACGACCCCAGCGGCGTGCCCCGCCACAACCCCGGCATGGTGATGATGGTACCCTCCGTGGTGCCCATGCAATTGTCCTCCGTTACCGCCACCGCCGCCGTTGACCACCGATCCGGAGGTCGCATTGAAGGCCCCCATCGGTAACATCGAATCCGCCATGGGGGGTCAGCGATGTCATGTTACCCCCGTGGGTGAGGGGTTCGAGAATGGGGTCGACTAGGCCTCCGCCGCCACTGGAGTCCATCGAGTGCTGCTGCTGGTGCTGGTGGCCCTGGTGGTGGTGCGCGTGGTGACCCTGGTGGAACAACGGTTTCTATGAACCGGTGAGGTAATAGAGTTAGGTGAATTGTGATAGAAATGGTATGGTAATAATGATATATGAGGTAGTAGATTGATTGTGTATATGTATATGTTTATGTATATATATATATATATATATATATATATATATATGTATATATATATATATCATATATAAAATTATTCTGTAATGGGGTATGAATGATTAATCCTCCTAAACTATTATTCCGATTTTGATAAATCTTTCTGAAGTTTGTTAAGAGAATAAAATTGATGTCTAAAGTCTTACACTTGTTTCTTAAATAATTCTATTAAAATTAATTTATAATAATTTGTTTTGTATTTCAGCAGAAACGATTTTCTACTTCCTCAAATGTAAAAAACTTGTTTATAAAAACTTATCATAACAATTTCAATAATTGATAAATTTTCTAAAATATCTAATTCAATAATAATTTGAAAATATCAAAAAACTATTTGTTTAAAATCCTAACGGAAACGATTTTCTACTTCCTAAAATTTGTAGCATTAATTTGCTTGCCTCGAATTAAGAAATGTAAAAAACTTGTATATAAAAATTTAACGTAATAATTTCAATTGTAAGTAAATTTTCAAAAATTTCTGGTTTAATAATAAATTGAGTATATCAAAAAATCATTTGTTCTGTATTCTAGTAGAAACGATTTTCTATTTTCTAACATTTTAGTACAAAATTTGTATGCTTATAGTGAAATATTCAAAAAACTTGAATTTAAAATATTTTGACTTTTTATATGACAGAACAATTGCTTTTAGAAAAAAAAAATCATTCGATTTCTTTTTACTTTAAATAAATATTTTTGCCTTGGTGATTCAGCTTGCATAATTCTTATAAATATTAGGCAATGTTACAATATTTATAATAATCTATTTGAAAACATTTAATATTCCTCGAACATTTCGTTACGGTACGGGAAGTTCCAGCTATTTGTTAAAAAATTTTCAATGACAAACAAAAATGTAGGCAAAAAACTACATTTTTGTTTGTCACTGAATAATTTGTTTACGTCAAAACGTTTACTAACGTTTTTGTATATAAATAAAACTACGAACAAAACTACTTACTACAATTTAATCATAATTAAATAATATTCACAATAAAACATCCTACTAAACGTAAATGAACATCTGTCAAAAACGTTTGACATTTGACGTATTAGCCACCGTCCATTGTTTTATTGAAATTACGCTTGTACAAAAATTTTCAAATTAAAAATGTAAAGTTTTTTCGTGATTTTGAGATAATATCTCACCTTTCCGACAACCTACTGATTAGCACGAATTTTTCAAGAATAAGACTGGCCAAATCGGTTTAGCCGTTTTCGAATTTTAGCGGATCATTTTGTCGAGAGCTCCATTTTTATATATAAAAGATATATACTTTTCCAATTTTGTGAAAACTATTGAAAAATGTGAAAATGCCGCCAAGCTAAGCACAGTATAAGTGAAAATGTCGCACAGAATTATTTGCAAATGCGTTTAGACTAAATTAGGCAACTATTTTTTTTTTAAATTGAATTCGAAATGAAATGACGATTGTTAATGTTCTGTAGATAAATTGATTTATTTATGATTTACATTTGATTTGCTCAGATATAACAAGATAGCAAAATGACTGTAAGGTTATTACAGTATTTGTTATTAACGTTTAAAATTTCTCGAATATTTCATCAAGGTACGGGAAGTTGCAGCAATTTGCCTTAAGGCACGATGCCATACACCACTAGTTATTCGTACATTTATGTCGATTACTCGTAAGGGATGATAACACTCTTGTATCCTCTCACTAATTGCAATCCCATCAAACATCTCTCGATACACTTTCATGTTACTCCACCACTAAGTGTTATCACTTGATAACCTCTCCACCGCCGAAGCTCTCACAATCTAATATAATTTTATTATTATTTCCACCACCATCGACTGACTGACTGACGGGGTTGTGTTTAACTATATCCATTTCTGTATCATCTGTATCGTCTGTATATATATATATATATATATATATATATATATATATATATATGTTGTACGATATAATTTTGAGGGTTGAAATCTTCACCTCAAAACGACGTTGTAGTGAGGGCAATAAAATTGAAATGTGCACGAGGAGAAGTGATTGCTTGCAAATATTTTTTATTGATATTAAAAAACAAGTTGGAGGGCGGTGGAAGAACGTGGGAAAGTTAAGCTTCATAAAATTAATAATATATTTATATTATAATATTGTTAGTGTTAATTTAAGTTTGTTAATGTTAGGCTCTGTATACACATGTCTTGTTACAGAGCGCACTAAGAACCGTTACAATCAAATACTACTAACATTAATTAACTTGATATTAAAATTCTGTGCGACATTTTCACTTATACTGTGCTTAGCTTGACGGCATTTTCACATTTTTCAATAGTTTCCACGAAATTGGAAAGGTGCTCCAGTACATAAACAGTCTAAACGCACTCGGGTAAACATTTGTACTAGAGTGGCGCTTAGACTGTGCTCAGCCTGGGTAATTTTTTAAATATTTTATGAAAAATAAAAAATGATGTAATAATTTTTTATCCTCAAAAGCAATTTTTGTCAATACAAGCAGGAAGTTTTTTAGATCATTCAAATCGGACGCTTAGTTCACTCAGAAACTGCCATTTTTTGCACATTCAGCTCTGTATCTTCGAAATGGCGGGACCTGTCTTTGTCAAAAGCTAATCACCTCTTCTCCCAATCATTAAAAATTGAATGTTTTTGAGATCATTCAAATCGGATGCTCCGATGTCTCAAAAACTCGATTTCTATTTTCCGCACTCTTTGTTCCGTATCTCCGTAACGGCTGAACTTGCCTTTGCCAAAAATTAATCATCACATCTACCTATCAGTAGGTATCAAATGTTTTTCAAACCTTTTATATCGGCTAATCCGTGCGCCCGAAAACGTGGACAAAAAAATGCGGACACACAAAACACACACACATCCATTTTTTCTGAGGTATGCCAAAATGTTCAGAAACCTTCAAAACGTCGAGAAATGCAAAAATTTTCATTTTGATTTTCGGCCCATTACTATAACTACCCTACGGGAAGTTAAATATATATATATATATATATTATATATAAAAAAATCTGTACGGATGTATGAATTCAAACTTTTCCTAAACAGTTATTCAAATTTTGATGAATCTTTTTGGAGATTGTTAAGATAATTGTTTGATGCCATGAACTATAAAACTATAACAGTATTATAGAAATAAACAGAAAAAATTGCAAAAAACAACACATCATTGTTTGTCATTTTAAAACAAGAGAACTGTATCTCACTGTATTATAAATAATAATTAGATAATAATAAAAAACTAGTGGTGTACGGCATCGGCAATTTAATTTTTTTGCTATAAAATTATTTATTTGGGAAAAAATCTTGCTGAGTTAAAATAAAAACTGAGATAATCAATAAATAAAAATATATTTATAATTTAATCTTTTTTTTTTTAATTTTTCCAGATATTTTGTTGTATTTTATGGGCTTTCATAATTTAAAAAAATAGAAAATGCACTTTTTAATGAAATTTAGAAAAAGTTGAATAATTGATGTCTAAAGTCTTACACATGTTTCTTAAATAATTCCATTAAAATTTATTCATAATAATTTGTTTAAACCGAAAACGTAGACGAAAAATTGTATCCATACATACATACATACACACACACACACACATCCATTTTTTCTGAGGCATGCCAAAATGTTCAGAAACCTTCAAAACGTCGAGAAATGTAAAAATTTTCATTTTCGATTTTCGGCCCACTACTATAACTACCCTACGGGAAGTTAAAAAATATATTTAGTATATATAAAATTCTTCTCCACGGATATATGAATCCAAACTCCTCCTAAACGATTATTCGAATTTTGGTAAATTTTTTGGAGTTTGTTAAGGACATTATTTAAGATGTCATGAACTATAATGAATGTTTGTCATTCAAAACATTTTAACACATGAGAACTGTATCTCACGCTATGATAAATAATAATTAGATAATAATAAACTAGTGGTGTATGGCATCATACCTTAAGGCAAATTGCTGAAACTTCCCGTACCAAAATTTATTTTTTTTTAAAAAAGATTAACATTTACTTTAACTATAACTAATGAAACGATTAATGGACATATATGTGCAAATATAAATATATTTATTATATATAAAATTCTTCTATACGATGTATGAATCCAAGCTCCTCCGGACGATTATTCGAATTTTGGTAAATTTTTTTGGAGTTTGTCAAGGAAATTGAAGTTGTAAATCACAAAACTATAGTAATATTGTAGAAACAAATGAAAAAAATGCAAAAAACAACATATCATCCTTTGACACTGAAAATATTTTTACGCCTGAGAACTGTGTAAATAATAATTAGATTCAAGTCTTATGACATATTGTAATAGCTCTTGGTATTTTATTTAAAAATAAGTACTTGTAAGCCAGGTTCAGAAATTCTAAAAATCATTCTGTATATTTTGCTAAAATTGAAGGTACAGCTCGCAAAAAATCGATTATATAATGCAATGAATTATAAAATATAAATCGATTATAAAAAATAAAAATAAATATAAATATAAATAGAAATATATATATATATATATAAATATAAATATAAATATAAATATAAATATAAATATAAATATTAGGTTGTCAAATATCTCCCTTCCGCTTTTTTGCTATTGGTTTATAATACAAAAAGGCGGAAGGGAGATATTTGACAACCTAATATAAATATAAATATAAATTTTAATATAAATATAAATATAAAA